TACAAGTACTTTACAAAAACAATACCTTTGACACAAAATCTTAATCAAACAATCTTACAAAATGAATGCCAAATATTATTACACGCAATTGTATGCGATTTTTAATACAAAAAAAGTAATAAAATTACTTATTGTTAACTATGTATAATAGTTTTAAAAACTAAAGTTTAATTAAGGTTTTTAAATTGAGATTAAAAATAATAATTTTAAAACAATTTAACTGTCAAAAACTGATGCTTTTTTGATCAAAAGTTTTGGTTTCATAAAAATTTTCTTTTAACTTTGTTTTACACATATCTTTTATTTATAACACAACTCAGATTAAATTTGTAAAAAGTGTTTCAGATTTTTAACATTCTAATTAAAATGCTTCTTTATTTTAGCCAAAAAATATATATATGTTTCTTAAAAAACGTACTTTTTTCATTTTGTTGAAATACAAAGAGAAAAACAAGTGAGAAATAAAATGAAATTAAATTGAATAAAATGAAAACTTCAACATTCGCTGATCACTGTTAGTTGGACGACACCATGGGTTGAACTTTGGGCATGATCGCCCAAAAACCGCTTAATAAAGAAAATAAAAAAGCTTTCATTGCAAAAAATTATTACCACGAAAAAAAATCACATTTATATTCTTTTATAGCCAAGTTAGACAAAATTTGTTTTCCTATAATCAAATTGGAAGCTAATTTAAAGTATGCTGTCTCATTTTTCTTGTTTGTTGTTTACATGCTATAAATAAAGAATTTTTAAAACATAAAACAAGCTATTGCTCGCGATAATTATGAGCATTTGAACAGAAAACATGAATTTGCATGTTAAATCACATTTAAATTATTTCAAGAAAATCATTTTTTTAAATGTAATGTATATAATCATTAGGAAGCATTGCACAATGCATACTATTTTAAATAAAACATCTTTATTTAAATACGTGTAATAATAAACTAATGATCTTTAGTTTAATTAAAAAATAACGTGTTCTTAAGTCCAAAAATTCTGAATGCTTTCAATATGTTAGTTAAGATTTTTTCCCTTATAAACTGTTGAGTTATAAAATGATTTCTGATAATAAACAATATTTCTAATATCCTTATGTAGCTGTTAACATTATGTTTATAAAGTACTATGCTGATTTAATTAGGGTCGAAGAAAAAGAATTTTTTTCGTACTAGGTAAATTTTTACCCAAAAAAAAGAAAAAAAACTTCTTTAGAAGCTACTAAAGACTGTCCTCTTCGGATAAATGATTTGATGAAATGCCGAAAGAAGAGGAAATATTTTTTATGAAGAATGACCAGCATTTGGCACTTATCCACAAATGCCGATTTCTTATAAATGATTAATTCTTCAATTCCCACTGTAATAATATGAGAAAAAAATATGAAGTGTAATTGAACAATACGCACTGAAGTTTTTGTTTATAATTCGATACAAATAGTTCAAAATAAATTATTTTACACTCAAAAAAGGCAATGCATGCTTTATTTTTTAAATATGATATATTTTAACGGGTTGTTGAGTTTGGCGTTCATAAAATTACTGCTTTCCCACAATGGGACTTTAATATCAACATAAAATAAATTCTTTCTTGAATCTACGTTTGCGATATATGCGTACTTGTTCGAATAAATGTTAATACTGTTTAAAAATAGAGAGTATTTTACGGAGAAAATCAAAAGAACTATAATATTTTATCTTTTGGTGAACTTAAGAGCAAAGTTTGGACATTTTAAATTGCTTTTAAAATATAAGGAAAAAATTAAATTTTAAACAAATACGCATAAAATCATTAGCTTTTAAATGTACATTTATGCATGCATTATTAACTATATAGTTGTTTGAAACATATGAATAGCCTTATAATGTTTAAATTAGTGAGGTAATAAATAACTATATGGTCGTACTAAAAATTTCATAAATCAATGCAATATCATATTACATAAAATAACATAAAAGAGAAAACTTTCATCTGATTATGATGCTAAGATGATTTACATTTTCCTAAATTATTTAATTACATAAAGTTATTTAAGAAGATGAAGAGAGATTTTGAACCATCAAAATAAAAGTCAAAATAAGCATGAGCTAGTTATGAGCGAAATGTTTTCAGTTTCTCTATTAATTATCGATAGTCAGTATATATTATTATACTTTATCCAAAAATTGCCAGATAACATAGAAGTCCAAATAATTTGCTAAGAGATATCGATAGTCAGTATATATTATTATACTTTATCCAAAAATTGCCGGATAACATAGAAGTCCAAATAATTTGCTAAGAGATATGAATAATTTTATTAATTTAAATTAGACTCATCACCAATGATGAACAGTGGGTCAAGTATTGAATATCTTTTTCTTTGTATAAAATTTTAAAATTTTATAAGCAAATTCAAAAGCAAAATTTTTGAGTGAAATATTAGGCCAGTCGATTTTTATAAGAAAATATTTTTTACGAAACTAACCAAAATTGGTTTTACATAGAGATGGAAAACATAAAAACCTTTAATAGTCATCCCTTCGTCTTCGAATAAATATGATCAGTCATAGACCACTGAAGAAATTTTATCTATTTTATATACGTGATGTTTTCAGTTAACCATTAAAATATGAATCAATAATCATTGTAAAGAAAATTTCGCAATTTTAAGCGTTTATGTTACTCAACTAAAATAAGCATAGCTTCAAAAATTTGATATTGCGAGTGTGTATTAACAAATGCTAACATGAGTTAATGGCAACAATAAATATATATCTATACAGAAAATAATTAATATTAACAATGGCAATGCTCAAATAATAGTTTTTGAATGTATTTTTATGTTACACAAAATAATCCAAACAATCATTGAAATCCATTTATTACATTTTGAGCAGTCTAGGTTTGTTTTTATATTTAACGCAGTTTCTACTAATTCATCTCTAGTTATAAACTGTTATAATTTACACTATTTCAATGACATTGATTTTTTTTAATCGAATATTTACTGAAAAAAGATGTTTGCAGATCTAGCAGTTTAAAAATACAATAAATAAATATACTACAAACAAACAATAAAAGAAAGATGTTTTAAGATGAGCATAGCAATGAAACAGTAAAAGAAAATAAATTTAAAAAAAAAACAATAAAATCACTAGTTTCTGAAAGTTTGATTTCTAAAATATCTAGATATGAATTAAAATTAAATTACGGTAGTGTTTTCTTACGATATTTAACGAATTTTCAATGCTAAAAAAAAGTTGCGATTTCTTATTCTTACTGAGGAGAGAGGAATGAAAAAGTATCATTCGTTTAAAATAACTTAAAACTTCGTTTGAAACATCCTTTCATTCATTAATTTGGAAACAATAACATGATTAAACTTGATTCAATTTCGACATTTAATTTGATTATATAATTTCTGGTAATAATTTAGATAATTACAAAAAAAGCAATAAAATCACTAGCTTCAAAAAACTTGATATCTAAAATATCTAGATATGAATTAAAATTAAATTACGGCAGTTTTTTCTTTCGATATTTAACGAATTTTCAATGTTAGAAATATTAGTTACGCTTTCCTATTCCTACTGAGGAGAGATGAATGAAAAAGTATCATTCGTTTAAAATAACTTAAAATTTTATTTGAAACATCCTTTCATTCATTAATTTGGAAACAATAATATGATTTAACTTGATTCAATTTCGACACTTAACTTGAATACATAATTTCTGGTAAAGATTTGGATATTTGCAACAATTTAGAGAGTGAATTATATTCTACAGATGAAAATAACAGCTTCATATGCTCCCGTTATATAAATATTGAAAAAAAAATTGCTCTCGAGTAATCTTCACTGAAGATATAATCCTTTTCTAAAAGTAAAGTGACAAAACACATGTATTTTGGAAGGTATGCTTAAAAGTAATTAAAGAAATACCTGAGAAATCATTAAAAAATAACATCATTTGTTTCTTGAATCATGCACAAAGTATATGCGAGCATAGTTCTAGAAAGTAATAAGTAATACCCCTGCATGTATTCAATAATTAATACCAAGAAATAACAAGTTTTTGATTTTAAAAAAAATTATTCACATTAAAATAACTGTAAAAAGTTAGGAAAATAAAAATATTCTGAAAAAAAAGCTAAACCTCTTAATCGCGATGAACCTACTTTTTCTGGCATTTTTACTATGATAACAAATAGCTTAAAATCAAGAGCTTAAAAATTTTAGGTTCTTTTTTAAAAATTTAATATAAGCGGACGGCAACTTTTAAAATCTTCAGAGTTTTTTTATTTCGGGTAACAGATGAAACATCAAAATTAGCAAAATAAGGAACATCTAACAATGACATGCGTTTGTTTTAAGTTTTCTCAATTTCAATATAGTAGATAACTATTATTTAAAAAATTTCTATGTTGTTGCATTGGTAAATGCAGTTGAACCATCACAAATAAAAAAATTCGCCTAAAAATACTAACTAATTAGTGTTAATGTCAATAAATGCTTGTCCTTTATTAGGTATCTAAATTGCTCTGTAAAGAAAATATATTTTTGATGAAAATAAAAACTTTAGCATTTTTAATTTTATACGCTACTGCATTTGTTGTTGAAAAAGATCCTAACAAAGAAAAGTTGACTTCTCAAAAAGAAATAATAATGAAATAAAATAAAGAAAATTTAAAAAATTAAACGGAATAAATATAATTTTTAACATAAAAAAAATTATGGATGAATGAAAATAAAAAAATAGCATAAAAGTTTTATTTCATTGCTTGAGAGGCGTTGGTAAGTATGAAGACTATAAAAAACAACAAATAATTTTGAAACTTTTTTTTAAAACTAAATCAAAAAGTAGTATTATAGTTACGGTTGATTAAAAATTTATTTATTTATTCATTTTTTAATTTAAAGTTTTTCTTATTTTAATTAGCGCTTCCATAATTCGGTGAACATTTTCTGAAAGAAAAATGAAAAAAGATAAAATTGTATGTAAAAAAAAATAAATACCTGATACAAAGTTAGCAGTCAACTGATGAAAAATATTGCCTCATTCAAAAGCATAACATGCTTAATGTCCCTTCTGATTTATGACATCCCTGTTAAAAGTTTCTCCTAAGACGAACGGCACGATTTCACATCCAACTTTTACTATTCGCGTACAAATTACGACCAATTCCTGTTGCTGCCGAGGGGAGCAATACTTATCGGCGAACTAACACACTTCAGCAGGCATACCATGACTTTGACTACTGCCATCTATCGGTTTGAATGAAAATGCTCGAAAGAGATGGGGAAATAATAGCGATTCGCGCTGCTTCTTGGGGGGGAGGGTAACAACGATTCCAACAAGAATGCGTGTACTTGGGGATTCCGGTTAAGCTGTCTGGAATGAGGCTGCACTCTCCCCTATTTGTAGGCACTTAATCTTCTTTTGTGGGGGAGTTTACAAGTTCTTTCAACGGGTAGAATTAAAGAATAATATTAGGCTCTAATCTGGAACATAGAATCATGTTGACTTGAGGATTTTCAGTCTTATTTTAATTTCGAATAACCAGGGATTATTATTTGCGGAGAGTTTCACGAATTAATTTGAATTTAATTTCGTGATATGAAAGCGGGGTAGTAAAACCAGAAAATAAATTATTTTCATTTGTGGAAATGTGTAGCAAAATGCGTAAATCCAGCTTGGAGTTTATCTAACGCTTTTATTAGAAAATTAACAATTCGGAAATATTAGAAAATGCTGAATAATAAAAGCGGTTGATTTAGAATTGTTTTATTGCTTAATTATCAACTAATAGTTGAGTAGTTTTAAATCCATATTATAATTGTTTGTAATTTGTTTTATTATGAATCGTCAGAAATTATAATCGTTATTTCAATTTGTTCTTCAAATTGCTAATAAAAGTTTATTTTCCGATACAAAAAAAATTAATAAAAAATAGAAAATAGAAAAATTTTGTTTGAAGAAATCTTGTTAAAATAATTATTATTGGACTTATTTAAGTAGAGTTCAAAAAATGTTTAAGAATTTAATAAAATTAAGATGTTAGAGAGAATCGTACATTATAAATGCTAATACAAGACGGATAGTGTAATTTTGTACAATTTTAATTATCCGTCACTTACAGCACGCGATATTTTCATTCAAATATCTTAAAATATTATGTCTTTTATTACTTACCAACTAAAGGGCTGAAAAAATCCCAAAATTTTTACATGCCCTACAAGTCATACTAATCAATTAAGTACATACTACACTGAAATTTTTATATGACCAATTATCTTTTTTGATCATAATAATGAAAACATATGAATGTATCAATAAGTTATGTTTGGGAAAAAAATGGCGTTAACAACATTACATCTTGATTTAAACATTTATTTATTATAAGCCAGAATTTATAAGTATTATTAACAACGAAATATTAAGCCCACTGAAAAAAAGTCTGATTAGGTTTTTGTGCTGTTAAGTAATGATATTTCAGACTTAAAAAAGCAAATAAATAAAATAGAATAAAAAATAAAAAAATTATTCTGGTTAAAAAAAAATATAGTATTAAATATCCATTTGGTATTTTATTTAATAATTCATTTGGTAATTTTTTAGCTTATATTTTAAAGTATTACCGAAAATTCTTTCTTTTATCACCGTTGTTGAGCAGCCGACCCAATATTTACGACTACCAACGTTCAATTCCGTAACTTTGTAATTTTTTACCCAAACCAGAAAACTAGGGGACTCCTGGATCAAGTATTATGAGACTTTTTTAATGGAACTATCCCCCATTTGCGTTACATAGAGAGGAAAACCATGAAAACCTGCCACAAATAGCCTCACGGCAAGAAGACTCTAACCCATAGCCCGTCCACCACTGAGGATATTTTACGTCAGCATCCTGGTCAGTGCGAGCTGGGGGTGAAATTTGTACAAATCAGCTATCGCTGGGATTCGAACACATCACCTCATTGGAAGGCAAGCGCTCTATTCTCTGAGCCACTGCAGCTCTAAACTCACATTTCATTTCAGAATTTAACCTCTTCAAAACTGTGATCAAATATACTGATTCACCCTTCATGGCCCAAGGCATCATGTATTAAATGCGACTCCAGAGGTCCAAGATCACATGGGCGTTATCTCAATTCGGTATACCTCGTATTACCTCTGTGACTATTACGAAAGCGAATTCCTTAGTGTGCACAAACTTGGAGAGAGTGGGTCTGAGAAAGCACTTCTTTCTCCGTCTGCTGGTCCTGAAGGGGTTAAACATTTCTCAACGAAATAAATTTTAAAAAAAAACATATTCCACTGTGATGATCAATCGCTGTAGATAAAAGAATCATCTCTATGGGAGGTAAGAATCACACCGAAATCAACAGACCATGCCAGATCTCTCAATTACTGGGAATATTAGGTTAGAAATCAAGAATATTTCTCTAGGAATGCTGTGCATTAGAAAAAATCTTTCTTATAGTTTTTAAAAATCTCTTCTAAGAAATTCTATAAATTTTCACTTAAACTATTCTGTTATGTTGAACACAGATCAATCATTCACGCATCTTTATTATGGGTTTATTTTCGAACAATAGGTGGGAATAAGAGCCACATTTGGTTGACTGTAAATGTACAATTAAGAAAAGAAAAAAAAATTTGAAATGTTTTGGTAAAGAAACTTGTGCATCGTTGATGTGTGATGTCTTACTTAAATGATGAGAAATCGGTGAGTCAACTTTAGACTTGGAAATAAAAACAAAATGAAAGTCATGGTAAAAATCTAAATTTTTTTTAAAGAAAAGGTAAAATTCAGACAATAAAATTATTAGCAAGAGCAGAAATATTTTTAAAAGAATATGTATTTAATGTCACGCATGAGTAAGAAAATAAATAAAAACTCCACGGGGTAAATTTTTATCGCACACTTTATGAGATATTAAAGCATTGCAGTGAAGAAAACAATATGTGAGATTGAAAGAAAATAATTTTAAAATCAAAATACAGAAAAAAAGAAGAACAAATTCAAATTAAAAATTATAATTGAAATTGAAATTATTACAATGAAAAGTAAGAGTTTTTATTTTAGGAAAAATAAATATTTTGGAAAGATATATTATTAAATTAGGAAAATGTTAAAATATGAAAAAAAATTTCAAAAATCATTAAAGCTTATTTCAGAAATTTAATTTCAATAAAAACAAAAATGAAATGTAATAATAATTAAAAAAACTTCGTAGTTTGTTTTAAATATTCCTTGAAGAAACTATAAGCTTTGCATTTAAAAAGTAATAGTTTCAAATTTATCTAACATCTAATGCTCAAAATATAAGACTATTCATTTTACTATTTCATCATAGTTTCAGGACATATTATGTTAACCAATTAAGCCACTGATGGAAAACATTGTGCACTAGTTGTGATTAAACTTAAAGAGTTAACATACATTTTAAAATACGAAAAATTGTTCTTTACATTGTATATTATAAGTATTAATATATTGTAGGTCTTATTAAACACAATTCTTCAGCAAAACACAATTCCATACTTCCAAGTTACCATACTGCATAGTAATGGCATTTCTGGTTAAAATAAAACCATAATTCTATTTAATAAAACCAAAATATACGGTATTTGAACCATTCGTTTGGAAATTTTTCCGTTCATACGGTAACAGTTTTACGGAAATTATAGTTTTTAAAATTATAGTTCTTTTTCCACACATCTCATGCCATGATCTAAAGTATCACGATAACCACACATGCCATGATCTAAAGTATCACGATAACCACACATGCCATGATCTAAAGTATCATGCTAAAGTTACCAAATTTTATCACATTTAACAAAATATATGACATATTAATAAATCATATTTTGTTGTTAATTTTACCAAAATCATTACCAAAGCTATTTGGTAAAAAACCGAACTTTTTGGAGTTCCCATAGTTCCAAAAACTGTAAAATTTACCTCATCCTGCTAGTTTTGATCTCATTTATTTTTTCTTAGTGTAAGAAGGCATTTCTTTGAAAAAATTGAGATGCCTATGGATTATGATTATCTATAGATATTAAGGAAAGCACTGTGAATAACTTTAAGTTTATTAATAACTAAATTTGAATGCTGTTAAGTTAGAAATAAAAATAACGCTTAAAATAAAATAATTTGGAGCTTTAAAAAAACAAAGACATGCACTTAACGCTTCGTGCCACTATAGATAAAATTGAACCATGTATTATGCATCACTTTTTAGTTTTTTAGTGAAGATTACTTAAGTGCATTTTTTTCAATGTTCATACAACGGGAGAATTTATAAAGCTGTTATTTTGTTATTTTCATTTATAGTGTCTTTTTAGAAATTAATTCACTCTCTAAATTGTTGTAAATATCCAAATTATTAACAAAAATTATATATTCTAGAAAAGTGTCGAAACCGATTCAAGTTTAATCATGTTATTGTTTCCACATTAATGAGTAAAATTAAAATTTAACACATTCACACATCCTTTCATTTATAATTTTCTTTTATTTACATCCTTTTACAATTTATGTATTTTAAATAAGAATCCGTGGACTTCTTTCAGTGTATAAATACCATACTGAATACTACTAGTAATCTGATAAAAAGATTTAGATTCAAAAACACGACATAGTTTAATTCTGGGAAAATTACAGCACTGTATGATAATAACATTTCTGGTAATAAAAGACATAATTCTGGTTAATAAAACCAAAATATACGATACTCAAACCATTCATTTGGTTCTTTTTCCGTTCATATGATAAAGATTTACCGGGAATTCCGTATTTTAAAATTATAGTTATCACATACATAATAAAAGATACAAAACTGAAAACTAAATTTGACCAATTAAATAATTTTTATTCCCGGATCAACGAATAGCATGAAAAAATTACGAATTTTTACCAAATTTACAAAATTTTATTAAGTATTCCGCATTTAAAAATCTTATTAAATATTAAACCATATTTTATAGTTAAATTTACCAAAATCATTACCAAAGCACTTTGGTAAAAATTACTGTGATTTTTGGATTCCTCATGAAGCCAGAAGCACGATAAATTTTACCATTTTTCTGATAGTTTTGATCATAACTTTTTTTTTCTCAATGTAGCTAAATGAGAGCATTTAAAGAAAATATCTGGAGTTATTTTCATGATCATAATAGTATGTCAGATAACAAACATTGGTTTTCTATATTGTACAGTTACAGCTTCGCCTCAGATTTGAG